TTCGTGGCTTGATCTTTGTGGGCACCAACTTCCACCAGATGACGAACGACGTCCAGATGGCCTTGCTGTGCTGCGATGAACAATGGCGTTGCACCACCGTTCGTGGCTTGGTCTTTGTGGGCACCAACTTCCACCAGATGACAAACGACATCAATATGGCTGTTCGCAGCTGCGATGAACAATGGCGTTGCGCCATCGTTCGTGGCTTGATCTTTGTGGGCACCAACTTCCACCAGATGACGAACGACGTCAAAATGGCCTTCCTGTGCTGCGATGAACAATGGCGTTGCACCATTGTTCATGGCTTGATCTTTGTGGGCACCAACTTCCACCAGATGACGAACGACATCAATATGGCCTTGCAGTGCTGCGATGAACAATGGCGTTGCGCCATCGTTTGTGGCTTGATCTTTGTGGGCACCAACTTCCACCAGATGACGAACGACATCAACATGGCCGTTCTGTGCTGCGATGTACAATGGCGTTGCGCCATCGTTCGTGGCTTGATCTTTGTTGGCACCAATTTCCACCAGATGACGAACGACATCAACATGGCCGTTCTGTGCTGCGATGTACAATGGCGTTGCGCCATCCTTCCTTGCTTGATCTTTGTTGGCACCAATTTCCACCAGATGACGAACGACGTCAAAATGGCCTTCCTGTGCTGCGATGAACAATGGCGTTGTGCCATCGTTCGTGGCTTGGTCTTTGTGGGCACCAATTTCCACCAGATGACGAACGACGTCAAAATGGCCTTCCTGTGCTGCGATGAACAATGGCGTTGCGCCATCGTTCGTGGCTTGATCTTTGTTGGCACCAATTTCCACCAGATGACGAATGACATCAATATGGCCTTCCTGTGCTGCGATGAACAATGGCGTTTTGCCATCGTTTGTGGCTTGATCTTTGTGGGCACCAACTTCCACCAGATGACGAACGACATCAATATGGCCGTTCTCAGCTGCGATGAACAATGGCGTTTCACCATCGTTCGTGGCTTGATCTTTGTGGGCACCAACTTCCACCAGATGACGAACGACATCAACATGGCCTTGCTGTGCTGCGATGAACAATGGCGTTTCGCCACCGTTCGTGGCTTGATCTTTGTGGGCACCAACTTCCACCAGATGTCGAACGACATCAAGATGGCCTTCCTGAGCTGCGATGAACAATGGCGTCGTGCCATCGTTCGCGGCTTGGTCTTTGTGGGCACCAACTTCCACCAGATGACGAACGACATCAACATGGCCTTGCTGTGCTGCGATGAACAATGGCGTTTCGCCACCGTTCGTGGCTTGGTCTTTGTGGGCACCAACTTCCACCAGATGACGAAGGACATCAATATGGCCTTGCAGTGCTGCGATGAACAATGGCGTTGCGCCAAGGTTCGTGGCTTGATCTTTGTGGGCACCAACTTCCACCAGATGACGAACGACATCAAGATGGCCGTTCTGTGCTGCGATGTACAATGGCGTTGCGCCATGCAATGGCATCATCCCTTCAGGTCCTTGGTCTCTTGCATCTTTTTCAGCACCTGCTTCAATCAACAACCGCAGGCTTTCAACATGTCCTCGTTCTGCCGCACAGTGCAACGGTGTTGTGCCATGTTCGTCTCTCACATTTGGATTCAATGGTTTTTTCAGCAAACTCTCAAGTTCAATCAAATCATTGTTGATGGATGCAGAGATCATGCGTTGGGTGTGCTCAGCATCAGTTTGGAAAAAATCCAAGATCACAATCATAAGCTTCACCGGAGCTGAAGCAAAAATCGCATCATCCGGAATCTCGGAACCATCTTCTGAAAAGAGTCTTTGTCTAAAAATGGTGACATCAATCTTAACTGCCAAGACTTGCTTCACAGCCTTGGCAGTTTTTCCTTCAAATTCATCAGGGGCAAGGACTGTCAGTTCAGCACCTGACGTGAGGAAGCACACCTCCATCAACCTGTAACCCACTGTAACCTGTAGTTAGTTGTGTTCAGACCTGCAAGATCATGTGAGAAATGTGGAAAAAATGGTAAATGGCCCCGGCATTTTACAGCTTGCTTTAAAAGATGTGAAACATGTGTTGCTTCGAGAATTTGCGATGATTCACCCACGAAAGCAATCCCCACTTGCAAGTTGTCATGATATATGTGTAGATTTCCACCCGCCGACACCTTGATTGGATCCTGCGGTAGATCGATTTGGGCAAGGGATGGGCTGTGCCTCGTATCAAAAACACCTAAGTGGGCCGTGCCCGACGAAAAAGTGCGTGTTTGGAAGTCCTCATCAACCCAAATCTATCCAAATCTTAGATGCGGTTGGGGCAAAACTCTGTCACCTTTCTTGACAAAACAGACTGGATCAGGTTCTATGAGGATGCGATTTTCTACCTCATCAATTGTGTGCTTCAGTCCATACCCCGCCGAACTCACTTTTCCCTCGAATTTGAACTAATTATAATGACAATGAGTCCTTAGTTACATGGTTACATCATGTTACATCCCATTTTTTTCTCTACCTCCCGCCCCAGTGAAATTCCCAGTGAAATTCCCTGTCCCGACAAAATGCCCAAGTCTCCTGCGGTGGCTCAGGGTCGCCAATCCATGACCTTGGAAAAAAACGACAGACAGGGAAAAATGACTGGATGTAGTGAGTTCATCGATTTATAGCGAAGTTGGTTATTGCTGTATAAGTTGACTTTACTAGATCTTGAATATCTTGAATGTACGACTATTGTTTCCATTACTGTAGTAGAATATATTTAATTCTTGAATATTCTTGACTATTTAAACGCCAGAAATAAACGCCAGAAAGATGATAAAAATGCAGAAAAGGTGGAATTATCTTATTGGGATGTTTGACAAAATTCTACATCTTTTTGGGGCTGCTACGGGTAAGAACCATATGATATATTTGGGTTGTCCCAGCTACTTACTTGTGTCTATCTACCAACAATACATGCTAATTCTGAAACAGCCCCCAGGCATATTCATGGATTGGTTTTGCTGTGATGTTTGAAAACCCTGGCCTTTACCCGCACATATAGGTGTGAAACCTGTGTTTCTTTGTCCTTTTGGGAAGTCAGGACACAGATGTAAGACCCATATGGGTGTCTCTGGAAATGTTAACAGAACCAATCACGAACTTATGATCAGTGTCCCCCACGAACGGCAATTTCAGGGTATTTGTGTCTGTGTGTTTTTTCATGTGCAATGCTTTTAGAAGATGGGCCACAGAAAAATGTTTTTTTCGTTCACCACTGGGCCTAGGGTTTGGGCCCTTCAACTTCCCTCAGTTCCCAACAACGTCCATCATTTCAGACTCCATATGGGAAAATGGGAAACAAAACAAAGCTAGGGTTCCAATCTTTCAACTTCCCGTTAACTTTTTCCACAATTTTATCCCAGATGGTCCAAGGCTCACTAAATCATTGCACCTTCGTGGTTTCCCAAGTTCTCTGCGTCTTTTGTTGCCTATGTTAAGCCGTTTTCGGCTGCTTTTTGTAGTAATTATATAAATCCCCAGATTCTTGATGAAATCTGGATTTCAAAGTTTCAACTTCCACTTTTTCTGGGTGCAATCTCCATGTTTTGCAATGCAAAATCTGTCCAAGGCACGCCCGCAGCATTTGGAAGAGGTGCGGATAGCAGGGTAGCACCGCAGCCTCCTTGCGTCGGTGTGGGCTTCGGAACCTAACACCCCAGATACCAAGAAGGGAGGATTCTTTGAATTTAACAGCAATTTAATGGGATTTAATGGCATTTAATGGGATTTCACCAACCAGTCTATGAGCATATATACATAGTAATGTGGGGAGACCTTCTGGTTTGCGGGGATATAACTATCCTATATGCTCCATGATGAATGTTGACGTAAATAACTGGGCTATTTGGGGGGGAAGTTTGCTTGTAAATATTCCAGCACCATGGAGCATTGGGGTAAGGGGTCACATGAATCCATTTTCCCCTGTGGCACTTAGTCCCAAGAAATTTGGAGCAACCAGTACGATCAAAGACTGAAAGGCAATCGTGTTTGGTTCGAACATTGGACCCACTATAGAAGTAGATGGGAGCAAGATCACTGCAACAAGCTCAATACTTTTCCTCTAAATACCACCGAGACATGTGTTCTGCACCAAACTCAAGCTTCCAAAAAGAGTTGGGTCTAGGAATTGATGCAGGCGACTTGCAAAAAGCCTATGATATTTGGGCATCACAGAAACCATCTCCACAGACGTTTGAGGAAAGGGTCATCTTTTGGAATTCCTTGTTGACAAGTCTGTCTTTAAAAGCCACCAAGGTGAGCCGGCTCCTGGAACTTCTTTGCTCTCACATGATGTCTCTCAACCAAGCCTTGGAATTTTGCTTGGCGATTCGCTCCGGATCTTTGCCAGGAAACGGACCACCTCAGAATGACCGCCTTGAGATGCCAGATCCAGAGCAGTCCTTCCACAGCTTGTAGTTGCGTGACCATCTGCACCTCTTTCAATCTTTGCCAGGAAACGGACCACCTCAGAATGACCGCCTTGAGATGCCAGATCCAGAGCAGTCCTTCCACAGCTTGTAGTTGCGTGACCATCTGCTCCTCTTTCAATCAGAAAACGAACAATTTCAACATGGCCAATTTCTGCCGCAGCATGTAAGGCTGTTACCCCAATATCCATGGTTGCTTCATTTTGGCCACCAACTTCCACCAGATGACAAACGACATCAATATGGCCGTTCTCAGCTGCGATGGACAATGGCGTTGCGCCATCGTTCGTGGCTTGATCTTTGTGGGCACCAACTTCCACCAGATGACGAACGACATCAATATGGCCGTTCGCAGCTGCGATGATTAATGGCGTTGTGCCATCGTTCGCGGCTTGGTCTTTGTGGGCACCAACTTCCACCAGATGACGAACGACGTCCAGATGGCCTTGCTGTGCTGCGATGAACAATGGCGTTGCGCCATCGTTCGTGGCTTGATCTTTGTGGGCACCAACTTCCACCAGATGACGAACGACACCAAGATGGCCGTTCTCAGCTGCGATGAACAATGGCGTTGCGCCATCCTTCCTTGCTTGATCTTTGTGGGCACCAACTTCCACCAGATGTCGAACGACATCAAGATGGCCTTCCTGTGCTGCGATGAACAACGGCGTTGCACCTTGCAATGGCATCATCCCTTCAGGTCCTTGGTCTCGTGCATCTTTTTCAGCACCTGCTTCAATCAACAACCGCAGGCTTTCAACATGTCCTCTTTCTGCGGCACAGTGCAACGGTGTTGTGCCATGTTCGTCTCTCACATTTGGATTCAATGGTTTTTTCAGCAAACTCTCAAGTTCAATCAAATCATTGTTGATGGATGCAGAGATCATGCGTTGGGTGTGCTGAGCATCAGTTTGGAAAAAATCCAAGATCACAATCATAAGCTTCACCGGAGCCGACGCAAAAATCGCATCATCCGGAATCTCGGAACCATCTTCTGAAAAGAGTCTTTGCCTAAAAACGGTGACATCAATCTTAACTGCCAAGACTTGCTTCACAGCCTTGGCAGTTTTTCCTTCAAATTCATCAGCAAGGACTGTCAGCTCAGCACCTGAGGTGAGGAAGCACACCTCCATCAACCTGTAACCCACTGTAACCTGTAGTTCGTTGTGTTCAGATCTGCAAGATCATGTGAGAAATGTGGGAAAAAGTGGTAAATGGTCCCGGCATTTTGCAGCTTGTTTTAAAAGATGTGAAAAATGTGTTGCTTCGAGAATTTGCGATCATTCACCCACGAAAGCAATCCCCACTTGCAAGATGTCATGATATGTCATGGATCTCCCGCCAGTGACACCTTGATTGGATCCTGCGGTAGATCGATTTGGGCAAGGGATGGGCTGTGCCGCGTGCCTCGTATCAAAAACACCTAAGTGGGCCGTGCCCGACGAAAAAGTGCGTGTTTGGAAGTCCTCATCAACCCAAATCTATCCAAATCTTAGATACGGTTGGGGCAAAACTCTGCCACCTTTCTTGACAAAACAAACTGGATCAGGTTCTATGAGGATGCGATTTTCTACCTCATCAATTGTGTGCTTCAGTCCATACCCCGCCGAACTCACTTTTCCCTCGAATTTAAATTATATAGATATTGACAATGAGTCCTTAGTTACATGGTTACATCATGTTACATCCCATTTTTTTCTCTACCTCCCGCCCCAGTGAAATTACACCATGTTACATCCCATTTTTTTCTACTTCCCGCCCCTTTGTTCCCAGTGAAATCCCCTGTCCCGGAAATGCCCAAGTCTCCTGCGGTGGCTCAGCGTCGCCAATCCATGGCCTTGCAGGGGCGGCGTTGGACCAATCAGGTCACGTTGTTCCCGCTGCAGCTTTTACGGGTTGTCTGGCCTTGGGCCTCAGGATTCTGTTTCTTCTAGTAGCTGTCAACCCCGGATTTTGCTAAACCATGGTTGACATTAATTAGGGGGGTACTCCTCCAATAGTCATTTCATCTAATACTTAAATTTATTAATCCAGGGTTGACATTAGCTGTCTCTGGACCTTGCGAGGCAGCCTTGGTCGCGACCTTGGCCTTGACCGTTGCTGCAGGTGTCACCTCCTCATCTGCGTCAACCAGGTGGTCAAACTTCCAATGGTCAGTCGGCATGGCAACACTGAAGCAGCCCTGAGACTGCCATGTTGGTCCACGTGCGCTCAAACGTTCTGAAGACTTTTGTTGACAAGTGAATGAATGAGATTCCCTAAGAGCTTTATGAGGCAACTCCTTCCGATTGCTGCATTGCATGACGCTGGTTGCTTGAGACAATATCTGACCTGCATGAGTCCTTCATCCGCTTTCTGGCATTCCTTGTACAGTACTGTGCTGTACTGAGCCAAACACCGTCAGAAAGGAATTTGACATCTTCCCGATACAATTTTCCCTCCGAAGGGTTTGATATGTGTCTTGCTGGCTTTTTCGATTCAAGGCCGAATTATCCATCTCCCTTTCCTGGAGTAGTCAAAACCGCCCCTCAGAATGCAGAGTATGATGTTTTTATTGAAAGCAAAAGCACACATCAACTCTTCACTCACGCAACCATTACGATCTGTATGCATATGTTTAGCATGCTTTTGCGTGCATCTATACAATGTATGTGCATACATATGCACACACATAATATATAATATTATATATATACATATATATATATATATCACAGATCATATATCTATATTCTATACATACATAAATACATGATCACACTTGTGTGTATATTCACCCCCCCACGGCTGTGCGCTTTTTTTTCACTCTCTCATTGGCCGGACGGAGCCAGGGTCGTTCATCCGCCCGTTGTTTGGTCCACAGACCGCGCAGCAGCCGCAAGTCTTTGTTGCGCCAGCTGTCGCAGATCAACGTTTCACCATCTCCCTGCTGCGCCAGCAGTAGAACTCCAACAGTGTGACGCGTCATGGAAAAGCGACACTGCTGTGTGGTCCAGTTCCCCAGCCAGGGTCGAATCGCCTCGAGCGCCGGCAAGTTCAGCAAGAATGCCAGCCTGCCATGGGGCCGTAGTACCCGCTGAAACTCCCGCAGCATCTTGGGGTACAGCTGTTCCACGCCACCTGCGGCCTGGAACTGACGATCCCAGGGGGGGGCCGTCATGAGCTTATCCACCGAGCAACTGGGGATCGGCAGACCATCTTCGAAGGAGGCATCTGCCAGGTGTGTTTCCACCTCCACTCGCAGGTGGCGATGGTTCTCGCGGCAGCTTTCGAGCTGAAGGGCGTCCGTGTCCTGGCTTGCGATGGAAGTTAAACTTGGAACATTTGAAAGTGCCAACCAAGAACTGTTGCTTGTCTGAAGTTTACAGGTTATGTTTCCCAGCATACTGAGAGAAAATACCCGTAGATTTTACCCCACATGAAGGTTGCATAGTTCCTGATATCATCCAAGTGCCATTGCTGATGAACTTACCCATCTGATTGAATTCCCTTCTGCTTCCATCGGATGTGCGTTCCTTGGATCCACTTAAATCCCCTCTCTTAGCTTAAATCCAAGTCTTTGCCAGTTTAGTGCTTGTTCTTGCTGCACTTAAGTTCATTTTTTCACCTTTTACAGTAATCTGCACTTTCGTTGCTGCTTCTTTCGAAGTCTTTGCTAGTCAAATTGGTATGTGCGATGCTTAGATTATTTACTGTATTTATAAATATAATACAATATACAATATATCCAAGTGTTTACCAAATTAAAACCCACATTTTTGCTGATGACGTTCATTTTTGCCCATCCCCAGTTCTTGCCGGGTTTCGCAACCAATGTAGCGTCCCTCAGGCCACCAAATGGCAGCTTCCGCCAGCAAGGTGCCCTTGCCGCACATGGGATCCAGTACCACGTCACCTGGTGATGTGATCATTGGACAAAGGGCGCAATTGGTGGCAGTGCTTTTGTTGCAGGAAACACATGTATTTATGTGTGTGTGTCTTGCAATATCTGCAGTATGTATATTATGTATGTATATATATATGTGTGTGTGTGAGTCAGTATGTATGTATGTATGTATGTATGCATGCATGCATGCATGCATGTATGCATGTATGCATGTATGCATGTATGCATGTATGCATGTATGCATGTATGCATGTATGCATGTATGCATGTATGCATGTATGCATGTATGCATGTATGCATGTATGCATGTATGCATGTATGTATGCATGCATGTACGCATGTATGCATCTATGCATCTATAGATCTATAGATCTATAGATCTATAGATCTATAGATGTATAGATGTATTGTTGCCTGTATCTGTTATATATATATACCTTGATATAACATGATATAACCACAATACCAAAAGAACCATACGACAAAATCAATGCAGATTGTGATAACGCCCAGCATCTTCAGCAACTTCATATATGAATTGAGTTCAGACGTCAATTTCGATGAATTCGGACTTCAAAAAATGTCAGCCAGTCATTGGTTCAGTCCCCCAAATTAACATAGACCCTGCTGGCTATTTTCAAGGTCTATGTCAATATGGTGGAGGAATGTGGAGGATAAATCCAAATTGTTTCCCGATTTTTATGGCAAAAAAATCACCCTTCCCCACCTGGTTGGATGTCCAACGATTTTGCCACCGCCCAGGCTTCGACTTGCTTCATGCCCGGCTGCTGCAAGCCACCCAACAGGCCAATGCGCTGCACCAGCAGGGGAACCTCCAGCAAGATGCGGCCATCCAAACCTAACCTGAGCTGACAAGAATCAGGGATGCAACAGCACGTAGGAACTATGGGACCAAGAGTGGCAACTGGAACAGGGGATACTTCAACACCTATGATTTTTCGCATGTGAGTTGGGGGATGAACATCCACTTACCAGCTAAATTTGATGAAAACCAGGGTACCAAGGTTTAAGCCATTTCCATTTTGGTGATAGGGGGAAAATAGCAGGGATGCAAGATAGCTTCCATAGTTGGGACAAAATGACAATAGGTTGTCCATGAGGGATAGGGTATACACGTGCATGCTTGCATCGTCAAACGTGCTTGAGCAGTTAAAGACTTGGTGGAGTGGAAAAGATACCCTGTCTGGATCGTGCCTTGATAATTTTGCTTAAACCCAAGCCACTTCCCAATGCAACCCCAACCAAAAAAAGAAAATGGCAACCATCAACTTCATCCCCTAACCCTAACAATCCCTCATGTTTTCACTCTCAATCCATGTCCAAGCTACATCACATGCAGTTCCAATTCAGCTTCACTGCGTTTCACCTCCGGCCGCCAGCCCTGGAGCTCCTCCAGCTGCACTGCCAGCGCCCTGCGCAGCGCCAACGACAGATCCTCCCCGAAGCCGCCGTTTCGGCGCCGCCGGAGGCAGACGTGGCAGGACTGCGGCGGTTCAGCGTTGCCCGTGAGATGCCGGGCGAAACGGACGCGGGCCCAAGGCACCTCAGGGTGATGCTGAGGTTGGGAAAAATTGGGGGGATTTCATACCAAAATTTGGGCAATTGCCAGGAACAAGATGCTGATTTCATGTGGTTTCACCATATTTCACCCACTGACATCTGGTCAGAAAGAACAAGAAATTGGTAAAACATCATGGGATTCGGAGTCAGAAGCAAAAACTGGGAAAAGCCGCAAAACACCAAACTGCCGGCTGGTGCTGGGAATGTCAAATGTATCATGAACAGGGTTTGGAACAGGCACCAAAACCCTTTCGGGACCTCAACTGTGCATCCTTTTGAGTTACAGGCTGCAATTTTGGGGCACCCAGTGGTGACCGTGACCCATCACCATTCCCATGTTTGGAACAGTTTTTCTGTAGGTTCCACCTCTGTTCCATCCAATCGATTTGGGATACAACCAAGGACAATGATCTTCTTCAGAACCAAAAAATCCTCCGACCTTAGCGCAAATCCATCTCGCCAATTCACTTGCATCTGCTGCACTCCATGATGTTTTCCCCAGCTCTACCGACGGATGCGCATCCAGTGCTACCATGCGAATGGACAAAGGACAGCGCAGGGTGTTGAGCTTTCCCGTCACATCCCATGGCAGCCAAAAGTGCCAGCGAGACTCTATCTTTTCCTGATCGCGGGTGAAAAAAAATGCTGGGTGTGATGGGGATATTGTGGATACAAACCAAAATTGGGTATAAGCTGGCACATAGAATATTAAAAATAAATAGGTGCCACTAAGAATATGGAAAATACATAGCAAAACCTATTCCTGGAATGTCATCCACATAGAATATTTATCCACATAGAATATGGGGGTATATATTTATATACATATTTGCCTTATCAAAATCCCAAGACTCTCCAAGCAAATCGTTGATCAGTGAAATCTAAAGTAAACAGCGCGGACATCGCCATGCATCATGATGGTTTGATTCATGATCAACTCAGCACATCTTTACAAGGTTTATATTCTATGTGCATCGTCTGTGGATATGCACTTAGAATATTGTTTTCACCCAGGAAAAATTATGTAACTAATAGACCTATTAGAAAAAAAAACAATGATTAGTATTCTAAGTGCTAGCCGGTTACTATAACATAATTCTTCAATGGAGATATCAACCAAAACATCATTTGCTGGTTTTGCACCGCCTAAAAAAATATCCTCACCCCTCTGTGGGTGATCCACAAATTGCCACAGGATCCTCATCTTGAAAAGCCAAGCAAAAAAAAAACAGCGTGAAACCCAAAAAAAAGATCAGCGTCCGGCGCCGGAACTGCATGCTCTTCCAGGAACTCTTCCAGTTCCCGCGCGGCCTCCACATTCTGCCGGCTGCGGGGATTGGACACTGGAGGAATCACTGCAAAGCGACCCCAGGACGAGTTCGCACTGGGCAGGATCGGAGCCAAGGTCCAACATAGCAGGAGAGCCGCCGCGGAGACACGGTGCATGACATCGTGGGAAAGCGGGGAAAAAAGGGAAAACGGCAGCTGCTGATTTTGTTCAAGATCTGACAAAACAACAAAATAACAAATTGAAACGGTTTGCAAGCTGTTTTGTTTGAAAATCAACGTGATCATACTGGAGAGTGTTTGGGATGAGTTGTCATCAATTTTAATCCGATCCACTTGAGCGTTTCGCCAAGACGATGCGTCGTGTTGACCCCTCGGGAAACCCACTGAGCGCAACCAAACTTGTCCTGTCTGTAAAGATCCTTCCGTTTGAAGCTCAAAGGGAAAAATAGATGCTGAAACCAACTGCAGATTGGGAAGTCGGCTATTTCGCCCTCGATAGAGATGTGGCCATGAAAAACTGTCAGAAATCATCTAGTGCAAAACAGGTGTTCCCAGTGCTCTGGTGATTTTCCGGTGGTCGATCATGAAGGCCATCGACACGAGCAACGCGACTCAGGTGGAATTGGGAACCATCTCTGGAGGCCAGCAACAGAACTGCGCTGAAGATGACAATAGATGAGTTGTATAGTGTAAATCAGCACTGTATAGTCCTGATTGTAACATATTACAAAGTAATATGATGATACGATAGTGGTTTCATACTTTTTTGGACGTCAGAATTAGTAGCCATCCACCCAAAAAGATTCAAGTATATATATATATACACATACATACATATCCCGGTCTAACTGGTTCAACTGATCAAACAAGGAATGTACCGGACCGCAACTGGTGCTGTTGACAGCCACGGCAAGAAAGGAAAAAAGGATAGGTACAGTGGAAAACGTGGAAAACGCACACGCAAAGAAACTGGACAAAAGTATGCGTTTGTGTGAAAGAAAAGGTGGACAAACATCACTTGGAATACAAGGGAAAAACCTCGTTGAGACCTCTGCCGCTGTCCATTGGACGCTTCAAGTCTCAAGTCTCAGTGAAATCCATGGGACCCATTTGGATTTTCAACGACTTGGTGGCATTTGCCCGGTCGTAAACAGTGAGACCAACTCGTCCAGCCAGATGGACAGGACAACGGTGAAACATGGTGAAACGATTCGCGGTTGATTTCACCACTTCTTCATCGATCCCACAGTTTTTCCCACAGCATGTCTTCCTTCGCCTCCTGCTCTTGCCGAGCTTTGTCAACCTCACATGAGCTTGCAGCAAGCAACAAGTCATGTACAGAAGCCCAAGAAGTATTGGTATTGAGTCATGAATCCATAAAATCTCAAAACCAATCGGTGTTTTTCTTGGATCTGTGATAGAGGTTTGATCTTTGGACCTACCGGTAAACAGGAATGCATCCAACTCATCTATTTCGATGATCAATTCCACCGGCCAGTGATGTGAACATCCTGAACAAATAGCTGATTGGGGGAGAAATCCATCATTTTTGTTACATGCCGAAAATACTGAGAGTCGCACATGGAAAATAAGAATTTAAAACAAGGGGGATCCATTCTTAAATTTTCACCTCAATATAGCAGGGCTGCATTCAAAAAGATGTCGTTGAATGCAACCCCCCTGCTGGAATCATCTACACATTCATGGGTATCATACATATACATATATATATATAGTATACCAACATATTTCTCAAGTTGCTGCTTTGTCGGAACAATGCCTATTTCCTATAGCACCATAAATCTTCCCAAAATCACGCTTTGTCCCTCTCCAGAACAATTATTGTCCGGTCCCTGTTCATAGTGTATAAACTCGCAACACTTAGACGTGTTAACTTTCGGTGTCATATCAACTTAAAGTCTTAAAGCATCATTTAAACATGGCAATGGCTCAAACATGGGTCGTTCCTGCAGCACCCAGAATGCAATACAACCGCATTTGTTGAAGAAAAAAACAGGAAGACGGAGACCCTCAAGCCTGAACTTCCAATCAAACAATATCAAAGATATCATGGAGTTCTCAAGTCTCAGACTTCAGCATGTTTTGATGGATGAAACTCATCTGCAAAAGCGAGAACCTTTGGTACCCAGATCGCCAAGCCTCCGCTTCCTCGCAGCCTCAGAATTCAACAAGTTTTTTGTGGTGCCAAGAGTGTGATCACCTTTCCAGCCAAAACTGGACCTCTGGTCATCCAATCATCCAACACTTCGCTATGGAAGCCATGGCCATGTTTAAAAGCTGAATCATCAGATAAATCAGGTAAATAAGCACCTGATGAATCACCATGTTGAATAAATCATCCACGCAGTCATGGGTCATGTTCCGTGGCTGGGGACATATCACGCAGTCCCCCTGAACTGCGCGGCCCCATGGCTATGTGAACCGCCAAGCGACCACCTGGCGGCAAGACACCGAGCTCCCTTAGGCGCGATCTTTTGCAGTCGCAAGCACGAAAAACGTTGAAAGTTGCGGAGAGACTTGGAATATCTCAGAACTTTTCGGCAGTCGCAACCGTTTCAAGTGTTTATACATATAAATTATTATTATTATGATTATTACTATTATATATATATATACAATCAGTTGCTCCACATGGTTTCCTCCAGTTCTGTCAAAAGTTTGGCATCACTTCTGTCAAGGTGCGATGAGATGCCGGCTCCATGACCACTCTCACGGTCGGTTTTGGACGGTGCGAAAACCCAGTGAAGGAATTGCGAGTATTGAACGCTTTGGACGTTTTGATCTTGAAACATGTCCTTAAATCGACCGACAGCCGACCATCTTTCTTCAGTTTGCAGATCTTGAAATCAGAAACCAGTGAGGAACAAAATCTGAACCACAGCCTGGCTGAATTCTAGGCCTCAAACAGTGCAAACATTCCCAAGCCAAAGCCAAGAATCTGCAGTTTGAAGCAGCAATGCCAGCCTCAGCTGATGAATGAAATACCACACGTTGCAAGTGGGTGATAATGGCAAAACCGGTTGTGATTGACTGAGTGAGCGATGACAATATGATACGTTTTGAGTGAGCGATGACAATATGATACTTTCCTGCTTTGTGGCAGACAGTTTTTATTGTTCATTCAACCCAAGCCTTGCAATTCATTATAAATCTGTCATGTCTGTTTTTTTTCTGAGGTATGTGTTACATGTCTAAGTTTAAGATTTCGCAAACATGGACCCAGGTTTAGCATGCCGAAACTTCACGACTTTGCCAGGCAGCTCTCGATCAGTGATTCCAATGCCAGATAGAATAGACATCAGTTCATCCTTCTGCACTGTTCCACGTCCTGAGAACAACGAGACAACGACCCGCCGACCCGAAACCCCAACGAATTCATGGCAGCACCGTTGCAGCTGAGAATCCCGTGGAATCCAACTGCTGGAAAACTGCTCTGACGTTTGCATGGTCTGCCTTGACATTGGTCAGCTAAAAAAAACTGTTCCAAAAGATGCATCTACGTACAATACTGACAATATGTCAAACGCGACCTTGAAATTTGCCTGCAGGAGTGCATCACTTCTGCGGCTAAAAGGTCTAAAAGTTGGAATTGTATTAATTACTGTGTGTGTGGATTTCCTCCAGTATGGTTGGCATCTCGATTGTCTATTTCGCGTTTGATGACCCCCCTGTCCAATGGAGTGGTTGCTGGCGAATCTGAAACCAGAGGCAAGGTTTATTGAAAGTGGACTGCAAATCTTAGACATGTTTAACTTGCTTGGGAGGTTGGTTGCAAGTTGCGACACAGGGCTGCAACCCAGAGTGCCAACCCAAAAGGGGTTCTTGCGGTGCATGTTTTTCCGATTTGAAAGATGTTTCCAAAGATATTTTGGGATATGTTTTTTTCCCCATAATGACGATGTCAAGGTGTTCGACTTCATCAACATCAACTAGAATCCCGTGTCAGATTACGTTGCAACACGGTGCATAAATTTATCGGTAATTGGCATAAATTGTGTGAACTGATGCAGTCCCCACTTGAATGATGAGAGAGACAGAAGGAAAGTCGGAAGGAAGGAAAGAAAGAAAAAAAAATCGGATCAACCAAGTAAAAAAATGCAAGAAGTTGAACCAAATTTTGACATTCGCGGTCACATCGAATGGAAATCCTCGTGATTTGTCAAGAATCTCCGTATGTCCCAACATGTTTGCACCATGAAAACACAGCATCAGAACAACACAGTTGGATCGGAAATTGTGGCACACCCCAGCACAGCTAGGGCACCCTGCTGAGGTAGACGAACCATCGTTTGATGCCATGTGGTTGATGCAATTTTCTCGGGAACTGTGCGAAAAAATGATGAGATTTGCTGAATAAAACAATGAATTTTCATTTCATCGCCTGGTTCACTGAAAGGGTCGCCTCTTTAAAAAATTTGAGGCATGTAAAACAACTTAATTTGAAATTTGAACCCATTCTCAAGACGTGCGGCACCAACGCAAGCAATGTCAAGGGCAACCAGCGAACACAGTTAGGAATCTATGTTTGGAGTTGGATGAAGCTGATATCTAGCAATAATTTTATGTTCAAAAGATCGCATCCTAGATAGTCAATGTATGGTGTGATGTCTCAATCCTGAACTTCACCTGTCATGGCTTGAAACTTCCCAGCTGAGGACGCAAAACTTGTGCCTTTCACGCACCAAACCGATACAAAGGATCCAAAGGTCTGATGGACGCAGAACGCGCCGCAAGTTTTTAAGTGATCCTTGGTCATTAATACTAGTAGTACTTCGCAAGGCGGTGGCTGAAGTTTCAAAGATAGGGCATGAAAAGAGAGGTAAATTGTTGCGATGCATGGATGGCAGGGCGAACCCACTGATGGGCCGAAAGGTGGCTGGAGTTGGAGTGGTTGCGGTGGCTGCAGTGGTCACCTAACCCACAACTGCTGGATGTGGTGTGGTGTAGTGTTGTTGTAGTTGTAGTGTAGTGGAGTTGTAGTTGTAATGTAGTGTAGTTAGCGTAATGTAGTTGCGGTTACAGTTGTAGTTGTGGTGTGGTGCAATTAATGTAGCGTAATGTAGTTTAGTGCAGTGTGCTGTAATGTCCTGTTGTGTACTGTTGTGTACTGTTGTGTACTGTTGTGTACTGTTGTGTTGTGTATTGTTGTGTTGTGTACTGTT